AATTAATTACATCAAACATTTATTTAGGCATGATTCAAAATGGAGAAAAGGAAGAGTTGCACGTGTATTATTTCAATGAATTAAAGAAGAATCCCCCTTCTCTCCCTTACATTAGCTCGCAGAAAAATTAAAGGGAATAGGGTAAGTGAATGTACACAAATAATAATGAGGACCAATGAAATATAAGTGTTGGCACAAAAATAAAAATAAATAAATAAATACACACAAGCATAATTAAGGGTTAATAAAGCATATCTCATCTTACTCCTCTAACACATTCTGGATATGGTCCCGTTAGGGATAGAAATGGGTCAGATCGTCCGTTGTGGCCTATAGCCTATCCTATTTAAAGCCTAACCTGACTCAGCTTGTTTATTAAAAAAAGTCAAACTTATACTTTTAAAAAGACCTATTTAAATAAAAAAAAAAGTCCAGTTTAAGTTTTAAAAAAATCATTTTAGGCCTATTAGATCGGCCCAATTAAATAATTATATTATTTTATAATTTATATTTATTTATTTATTTGTAATAATTTAATATAAATATAATTGTCCAAAAAAATTATATATATATATATATATGTATAATATATAACATAGTTTAGTATTTATACTTTAATAATATAATCATTATAATTATACTATTAGAGTATCAATTAAAATTTTGTACATATTAATATATATAACATAATTTAATATGTAATCTATAATAATATAATAATTATAATTATACTATCAGAGTACCAAAATTAAAACTTATCGTAAAAAATAAATCTACCAATTAAAACTTTGTCTAATTTCTAAAATATCTCAATTCATTATTAGAATTCATTTTTTCCTAATTCTTATTCTAGTTTTTTTAATTTAAATACTTGTTAACTTCTTAACCCTAATATAATTCTTTAAAGTCATGATTGCATAAACCAAAAATAAAAGTTGTTGTGTACCACTTTCCCTCCCTTCATCTTTGTTGTTGCTGGCGATTGTTTATGGTGGCACTATCACGTATTAAGAGGTGCCCATTGAAAATCACTATTTGATAACCCTAATATAATTGTTTTAAAATCATTTTTTGTTCTAATAATTATTTTTTCTTTAAGGTGGATGCACAACTTGAAGTAATCACGTTGAAGATTTGATATCTTGCTCAATGGCTTGACAATTGTTTGTTGGGTTATACATTCTAGTTTTTTTTTTTGTTTTATTTTTGTACTAAACATTCTAATTGTTAGCATGGTAATTAAGATTACATAATATGAACATGTAACCTTTTAGATTATTTGAGATATAAAATTTTTTGGAGTTATTGAGTATGGTCATTTTGAGATATGATATCTGTGAAGCTATTTATGTAAATTTTTTTTTCTAAACATAGTATTTAAATATAATTACTTATCATATGATTTTTATTTTACTAATAATAGGTCTTTCGGCTTGCTAGTCCGTTAGTTACTAGCTCATTGGCCTACTAGCCCGTTAAATTTAAATTGTTAGTGTTATTTGAAGGCTTTATTGTTAAATAGGCTACTAAATAAGCTATTAGGTCAGGTCAGACTTTTAAAAAAGTCAAGCCAAGCCTAAAAATTTGGCATATGTCAAGTCATTGATTTAAGCTTAAGCTCTAATTTTATGTAGTAAGTCAGGCTCATTTAACCTCTAACCTATCCTAGCCTAACTCATTTTCATCTCTAGTTCCCTGCAATCCTAAAAAGTTCACTAGAAAAAGAGAGTAAAAACATGCTTCATCTCCTATGCGTAAAGTGTAAATAGAACACTCATAATCCATGCTAAAATACCCTTATGATCACATGAAAAAAAAAAAATTAAACTAACTAAGAATGAAGAAATTTAGTTCTATTTTGCACATAAGAAAATTAGAAATAAAAATCAATGAATAATTAAGAAAAGTAACACATTACGACATCAGTTCAAAATAAATAAATAAATCTTCTACAAAATACGCCGATTAGCTATATGGAATTGATTAAAACTTGATGATGTTACACGAGTTAAATGGATTAGTAGTATAATCGACAAATGAAATCGAAGATACGCCAAATAGAAATTTTGTGATAATAATTAAAGAAGTTAGAACTTGAAAACGAAAATAAAAATCTCAGCAGAATTGTGACAAAACTATCGGATACCATCTTAATTGAAGGAAAAAGTCATAGAAAACCAATCTTTATTTTTTATTATATTCTGATAATGTTTTCTCTTAAATGATTCATTACAAAGCATTTTTAGTATAAGTTGGAAAGCTAGAAAACTAGTAACCACATGCTGAGAAACTAATTATCTACCTAATAAAATAATTTTTTATTTATAGTGTAATATTTATCATAATTAAAGTGAAGTATCATATGTAAAAAGTTGACTAAGAGGTTAATTATGCAATTTTTTTATAAAATTAAAAAAGTAAAAATGCTAAATAATTATATCGTTGATAAGATCATGCCTTTAGACCTTCAAAGAATCTGATTTAAATGAAGAAGATATTTAAATTGTAATTCTTGTAAAATATAGGTGTTACAAATAATGATTCAAAACAAAAATTAATGTTGAACAAAATCCAATTTGCATGTCGGATTTCGATTGATGCATTATGTATAAGTAGATAGTTAAATTCCAGACAATATTATTATTATTATTACTACCCTCCCATTACCATATTAGCAAATACATGTGCTATGATGGACTATATAAGCTTTCTCATAACTTTGTTGTGGCATTTGTTTTCTTATAACTTACTGTTTTCGGCTAGAGGGACATATCTATTAAGGCTTATGTAGGTCTTTGTTTTTTCGTAAAAAATTTAAATAAAGTTTGTGCTTCCCACATCTCAACGACTCAGAATTTAAATAAAGTAATAACCTGCACCCAGCCCAACGAAACTGCCCCAGAATTTTAGCCACAGATTCGTAATGAATATAGCTGATAATCACAATTTCTTTCCAGCTGTGCTATTCTGTAAGGATAGAGCATTAAATGATCAACAGAGAGAACAAAGCATTAAATGAGTTTTTTTAAAACACTATTATTTTTTATATGATCCATCTATTAGAAGGTTATTACTTTTTCTACTAAAAATTATTAAAAAGTATTATTTGGCTTAAACAAGGTTTTAGTCATTAAAAATTTATAATTTTTTTTTATCCTTTATTTTCAATTTTTTAAAATGGCTCTCTCAAAAGTATTTTTATATTTCATTCAGTCCCTCTAATATTAGAGTTGATGTGAATAATGATGTGACATTTAATTTTTTTTCTTTGTTTTATATTTTTAAATCTTAATTTCAATAATCTCAACTTTATAATATAAAATTTTATTAAAAATAAAAAATGTAATGTTAATAATATATCATATTCATACTGTCTTAGTCAAATTGTATGAAACAACTCCAATGTTATATAAATAAAAAACGAACAAGTTAATAAATAACTAATAGATAAATCAGATGAAAAAGACAAAAAAAAATTAACAAAGTCAACAAATTAGATTGAATAATTTAAAAAGAAGGAACTAAATAAAAAAATTACAATTTTTTTAAATTAAAACTTTATTTAAACCATGTATTAATACACATTTTAATATAATTTTTAATGTATTCACACATAATTTTTAATTAAAAAATGCAGCACTAATTCTTTTACAAGATCCATTTTTTATATTCAAGTTTAGATACTTAAAAAAATATTTTTAATTAAGATTAATTAATGATAAACAAAATTTTTCTCAATTGAGACCGTGCACAAAAATGAAAATTTTCTTTGTTTTAAAAATATTATTAATAAAGACACACACTTTTCTTTGTTTTAATAAAGACACACACATTTTTTAAAAATAAAAGATAAAATAAATTTATTTTATATTATATTTAAAAAAAAACTGTTTAGTAAAAATAAACATTCTCTAACTTTTTCAGATTTTTACAATTTTAGCTGGCTTAAATGAATTGAAAAAGTTTGAACTTAATTCATATTAAAAAAAATATAAAGTCCAAACCTTATGTTTTTCTATTTTAACATCTCTAAATTGTTTTTATATATTTTGAAGAATAAAGTGTCATTATATTTTATTTTATTCTTTCAAAATATTATTTCATTATCAAATTAGTATCTCCAATACTTAAAATACATTTTGTATTTATTTTTATCTTGAAATTATAATAACAATGTAATAAATTTAATAAGATTAAATTTAGTAAAATAAGCTAATTTCTAACGAAGTGCTAAATTGTAGTTTAAATTTCAATTAGAAAAGGTGCTATATATAAACACTGACCATATCTTGAAAATAATTATCTTTCATTGAAAGAAATTTGTGGGAATTAAATAAATATTTTTTTCTTAAAATATTGTTTTTATCATAATTTACATTTTTATGTTTATCTTAAATTTTAAAAAATTCAAACAATATATGAGATATAATATAATAATTGTGATAATAATATATTAAATAACCAAGTTGTTTAAAAGGAAAAAAATGTAAAAGTATAGCTATTAATTAAAAAATAACAAATAAATGTGAATAATGTAAAATTTTATTATACATTTATAAGTATCATACTTTATATTATAAATCAATGTCCAACGGTCTCTTATTATACAATTTCTTTTGTAACACATAATTTTACTATTAAATTTAAAAACCATTAATTATTTTAAAATGAATTTCAAGTTTAGCTATTCTAAATTTATATATTAAAATATTTCGTTTATAAAAAATACAGTCATGTATATTTTAAAATTAACGTTTTACTCTGTCTAATGTTATTTTTAAAATATAGACTGTTTATACTTTCTCTCTATTCAGTTAGATTTTTTTAATTAAAAAAATAGTCATATAATTCACAGTATACTTGCCACTTTTATTACAATCTTTGCCAGTTATATAAAGTAAATCAAAATAACACAATCAGTGCCTTGCATTCAAACCAGAGTTTCGGTAATGACTATTTGCTTCTGCTACTTTATTATCCTTTCTTTTTTATTTGTTGTTAATATTATGATTATCATTTGGTTTTGTTGAAAAATCTAGAATCCTCTCTTTGGTTCTTTTTCCCCTCCACGAGGGTTTATCTTTCTCTTTGGTTTCGTCAGAAAGGTTGGAAACTTGTGTTGAGCACATCATCGTTTATTGGTACTCAATAATAGTGTTTCTTACTCTTTGCCCTCGTAAGTATTCAAAAATATGTTTCGATTTTATGTTTGCTTGCTGTTATCGTTCCTTGGGAAATTGGCCGAAAGAATGACAAAACGTTGGGAACCTTTTTCACTTCAGAATCAATATTAAGATACTTATCTTGGAGCTCTTTAGTGTTTTTCTTTTGATATATGAAGTGTTCTCTAATTTGTTAATGTTTGTTTGGCTAATTTGGTTAATTAGATTGCTTATCCTTGACATGGAGATGGGACACCTCTGTGGATTAGCACACAAGATTTAATTATGAGTCTTTGAGTGTATGGAAGATTTAAGATGCTATCGTTATAAGTGGCCTTGTAAAGATCTTGTCTGGTTATCCTATGCATATTGTCAACAAGTTCAAATTGTTGCTATGTTGGTGCTCATATATATGCTTCAGAAACACAATGTCGATGATTATAATAGAATCTTGACTTCTTGACCCTGTTTATTGGGTGACATTCTGGTTGGTCACTGGCTTGTGAATGCGTTAAATATCTAATGTTAGTTTCACCATTAAAACTTATAATACCACGAATGCTCGCCATTATACTGAAGTCATGAATGTTTGATTATGATTAACCAGCTGGCCATTGGTATTTCAGCATACATATATAACTTTTTAGATATATTTCTTGCTTATCACTGTTCTCAGGTCCATTGCGAATGATTATAAAAGGATTATTTAGAAGATATGAAAGATGGAACCCTGTTCATCCAACTTATGGAGCCTTTTGGGGAATGGGTGTGGGCATTGGTTGTGGTGTCGGATGGGGTCCTGGGTTTGGCCCTGAAGTGATAGGCTATGTTGGAGCTGGTTGTGGCGTTGGATTCAATGTAGGCATCACTTTTGCTGGCTTTGGAGTTGGCCTTCCAGCTAAGTTTATCTTCGAAGCTCCATATAATGGTAAATCTCTGTTATTAATGAAGCAGTTGATTGCTTTCTAAAAGTGTCACTTGATGCATAAAAGTTAAGTCTAAGTTTTTGTTTGCATTTAGGGGTCATTGAGAAATTTATTGCTCAAACAGTAGATACAGATATTATATTATTTTTCAATCTATGACTCCAAATCTTATGCAATTTATGTATGATTTATTTTAATCCGGCTATTATGGCAACAAAAAGCTCTGCATTGGAATTAGTATGCTCTGATGGTCTTCTTTTTGGTACACACATATCAGGGGTTAGCTGCATTAGAAATTTACCTTGTATCTCTGACTTGCAAAGAAAAGCCAGTGGACAACTTTTTGGATTTTGTGAGAAGCCTTTATCAATCAAGGGAATTGACTTGTTTGACCTGAAGAAGAGCTTGCCTTTGCTTACTTCATCTGCCTGCAAAAGAATACAAGCATTCCATAGCCAGTTCTTCAACTCTCATAGAGGTATTATTTTGTTATAGAAAGCAAAAGTCATTTATCCTCTTTTACCTAATATTTTTCTTGTGTGAACTGTTTGCTCTCCCTTTTTACCTTTTTATCTTGTTGAGTTTGTTTCATTTTATGTTTTTGTATATCAAAGTTTGTGATTCAACTCTTTGACCTTTTGAATGCTCAAATTCTTGAATTATCTCTTCACAGCACAGTATGTAGTTTAGAAATATCACATCTATGATAGGGTATTGTTTTAGTCAAGGGTCTTGGATCTACGATTGGCTTTGATAGCATTTTAAATTTGGGTTAAGGCCTAACTCAACCTTAAAAACTAGCTTGTGAGATAAAGATTGTCTTGGCCTTCATAAGTTCTATTTAAGCCATATTGGTAGTTGATGTGGGGCTTCAATAGTGTGAATTCTACCTTACTGTCTCTCAGTAATTAAAGCCCAAACTATAGCATATGATTTTTTTCTTGTTTTCTTTTGCGCCTGTGTGTGTGTGTGTGTGTGTGTGTTAGAAAGGAGATCTTTGACCTTGTATGAAGAGGGGGAAAGCAGGAAAAAGGTACAGGAAAAACTGTCTGGCTGTGTTTCAGTTCTAGGATGAAGCTATCCCCAAAGGGGCCTTAGTGCCTTACAACTGCCTCCCCAAGGTTTTTTCAAACATTGGGGCATGGAAGCTAAATTTTAAAATAATGAGTCAACCAAAACACATGCATTTTGTTATTAATGAGAATCACACAAAATTCACTCAATACTCTTAAATTTGTGCTGCTATTTCATTTTGATTTTATATGATAATGTTAGGAAACTACTTTCATTAGACAAAATGCTTTTTGACTAATCTTTCTTGGGTAATGAGCTTGAACCCAAGCTAAAAACAAGATCAATAGCAGAATGTTAAGAAATGCCCCTATTTTTGTGCTGTGTTTTTTTCGTGGTTGCTGTACCTAATGTGAAATATAGAGTAAAAATTATAGACAATAAGAGGTTGTTTGGAAAGGAGGGTTTTGGAGGGAAGGGGAGGAGAAGAAAAATTTTCTATTTTATATTAATAATTTTTCAAAATAAAAGATATAAAGTGATAGATTAACATAAACTTAATTTATTAATCATGTATTTATTATCATAAATGATATATAATTCTCTTAATTAAGATTAAAATATGTGTCCTCCCCTTTCTTCCTTTCCAAAAACCCTCTCTCAAACAATCCTTAGGTCTTTGTTTCCCAACGCTAAAGTCATGTCTTTTAAAGCTAAGGATTGTTAAATGTTCTAAACTGATCATACGTTTGATTCCAATCATTAGTTTTTTTTTGGCCCATTTTGATCTCATCACCCCAAAAGTATTCATCCTGCTAACTTGAGCTTAAGGGTGTTGGGAATGGCTTGTGAAAGTTGTGGTTTCTTTAAGCTGAATTCTTGCTGTTGAAGTAGTACAAAATTGGAGAACCTTTTGTCTGAAGAGCATGTAGCAGATGATGTCCTGTTAAAGCATCTAGTCTGAGAGAATGCAGTACATTATGTGCATATGGCAAGGGTGTGGTCTTTGGAAGATCCTTGCGCCACGGTCCTTCAATATGTAATTTCATTATCTGCTGTTGTTGTAGGAAGTAAACTTGACGTTTGCATCTCTTATTTGCAGGAAAGGATTGATGACTTCCACAACTGACAGTTTTGTGGTTACGTTTTTGACAAACCTCCTATTTTGTTTGTTAGCTCTCAACCAAAGCTCCTGTTTTTATAATGTTAATATCTTAATTGTTCTACTCACTCAATTCAAATTCACTGGTATTTACAATTTTTTTAAATTTGTTTGTTCAAAAAATCTCACACCCGAGTTTTGTAACCAACGTATTAATAGTCGTATGAAATAAGGCTTCCAAGCAACCAAAAACAGAAAAAGTAGAAATACAATTTTCTCACATAATACTTAATTAGCAGCTACAACACCAAAATTTGTTTATGTATGGACTTGCCTAACCTTAGTTCCTGGAGACAATGCATCAATGATGGACCGGGATCTTCTCATTTTTTGGCATGAACTGCATCTTGCAGTTAGTGTTTTATTTGCACTTTTGATTAAGCGAAAGTGAAAAATATACTAACTGCAGTGGATCACGGTCTATCAATGATATGTTCAAGGCTAAAATAATTACTTACGGCATGTTCTAGACCAAATTTATAAGTATAATGGTTAGAATATTATTTTATCAGTAAATGAGATTTTTGAATTTATAAATTTAATAAGGTGTGTGCATTTTGCAAAGAGAACTTTGAAAAAAGAAGCATAATCGTACTCTATACAGAGTGTTTGTTTAAATAGAAAATGCATGGACAGATTTTAGGTGGATTGAGTTTGACTTGAAAGACAAACAAAAAGTTTACTAATTTGGATGCTCTGTCCACATGTGGAAAGAAATAAAAAAAATGTCCATGGAGTCCACATAGAAGTCTTCTTGCCTCTGGAGACGGGATTTGGAGGTGGCATCAGCTGTGCTTGGGTCATTGTTTGTGTTTTCCTATTTGACAAATAATGGGGGGCTTTGTGGCTCAAAAGATCGACGAATCAAGGTGAAATTACTTCGTTCCGTACAAATTAGAATTTTTAAAATGTAAACATTAGTCAGCAGCATTCAATATTCTAAACTATTAATCACAATCCAGTCTCTGGGAGTAAAGTTTTATTACTTTGGCGTAAAACTGATCCTAGCATTTTTCAACATGGGGCTTTAGCAAATGATATTCATGCACCAAGCAAAGCTGAACGCTGATCATGGATGCTAGTATAATCAATGAACTCCGTTACATAAGTTTAATTTACAATATAATACTAAGTTTTGTCTAAGTTGTCCTGTGGGATAAATAATCTTATTTTGGTTAGACTATAAGATTGTCCGTAAAAAATTGATACAATTTTTCATACAATGTTTTAAATATGCCATGAGGTTATTTATGTCATGAGGTAACTTAGACAAACCCGTCATACTATCCAAATTGTAGTACTTTACATGTTCATTGTACATTTGGCTCCTAACAAACACTTGCCCCACATATGGACTCGTTTACTTCGATATACACACAAATTCTACAAGAAACAAGACTTTCAATACGTTGCGCTATTGCAGCATCGCCAGCAAAAGGATAAGAAATGTAAACAAAATAGCATAGCCCTACTTCATGCTTGGTCTACTCCAACCTGAATCAATAGCAAGCTCTTCACAGTTCCCGTATCTTGAGGCTGCAAAGCCATAGGATGCTATAGTTCCTACAAGGACAATGAGGACTGCAATGAAGAGCTGAACGTTAGCAAGCAATTCAGCCCGAACCTCGCTCCCTTTTGAATGACATGTGACATTACTGTCGTTGAGCCTACAACCAGATGGTAGCATGGGACCATAAAGAACAAAAGCAGTCTGATAGAACCAGATTCCTTGCAGTGTTATAGCAATGCCATTACATAAATCTACTGGGAAGCTGGTTGGCAAAAGGGCTCCAGAGACTGAAGATACAATGCAAAGCCCAATTATGAAGGCAAGAAGGACATGGTAATAGCCCTCTAGACCTTTGTGTGTTGTAGAGTGAAAGTAGAATAGAAGATACTCTGCACAAAATGCTGTGGCAGCAATCAAACAAAGAGCACCTTCTGGCAAGGGAAGATATCTACATAAGGAAACCAAGTTAGAGGAAGGAAATAGAGAACCGTTATTCATGGACAAATAAAGACAACTTAAGAAATTTGAAAGGTCGCTATAAAAGATCAGGATCGTTGTCTGACAAATTCATATATTCTTAAACTAGAGATGTGAACGACAAGGATGGAAAAGAAGGAAAAGGTTAGGATGCAATGATTTAACCTATAAATTAAGACAAGGTCAGTGGAAAATGAGCAATCTGTGGAGTACCAGACATTTTAGAACAAAGTATTAGATTAAAAACCACACACATACATATTAAATCTTGTAAATGCTTCAACCCTAGGATGAATTGGTGTTATAAGCATCTACAATACCTTGAGAAATTTAAAAATATAAATTTAGGCAAACAACGTAGTTATTAGCCCAACAAATATCTTTATGGCAGTGTTATAAGTGAGAGAAGAAGAAATTGACTATTAGAACTGAGTTATATGAGAGAAAAACTGAAATGTAACGAAGTACTATGATATCTCATTAATAATAATTCAAAGGATCATTAGGGAACTCATTGTCCATTAAAATCTTAAAAAGCATAAGAGAAAATTGAGAACTAAACCAGGGTTAAATTGTTAGAGTTAGACAACCTTTAGCATCAGCCCATACGGTGTCAATTAACCATGTAAAGCTAGATCGAACAAATAACTTCGTAAATAAAATAACAGATTGATTTAGTAGTGGGCCAGTAATTAACCTACAGAAAACCAAACACAGCTGCATTCTCACATAGATAAGAAGCAATTATTATTCTTCTGAACAAATAAGAAAGAAAAGAATAAGAAATGATTATATCAGCAAGAATATTAGAGTAGCATCTATTGTGAAAACGATGATAGGAAATTGATTAAGGTGATATGGACATGTGCAAAGAAAACCATTGGAAACATCGGTGAAGAGAGTAGATTGACATAACTTTTAGTCCAGTAAAAAACAATAGAAAAAGACTCACAAGAACTTTAAAGAAAAATATTAAAACAGACCTAACAATAATCTTGAATTTAGCTCACTCCTAAAGTTAGCTTATAGGAGGACTACACAAGCCCTTATAAGGAGTATTTTGATTCTATTCCTAAGCAATATTACACACATCCTTAACGCTTAGGGCTGACCATCTAGTGTGTAAAGTTTGCAAGACTAGACATCTGCAAGTGGCTCCCCATGTTAGGACTAGGGAAGAAGAACAAATGATTGACACTAATAAGAAATCTAAAGTATGAAAAGTATATGTTAGGAGGAAAGGAAGGAAGGAGTCAACGGTTAGTTAGTTAGTTGTTATTTGTTAATACCTTTTAAATAAAGTTAGAAGGGATAGGAGGGGGTTATGTTTTTGGTTTTGTAGAGAAATACTGAGAGGAAATACTGTTCAGTGTTCAGGGAGCTGTTAGCTCTGGGAGATCCTTGAATTCCTATTCTTTTCAAGGCATTAATAAAGATTGTCAGAATTATTCAGTCTTTTGTTCATCTTTTTCTGATTTTAAAAGCTTTGACCCTAACACCCCAACAGGCTGAATAGGCTCTAATACCATTTAGAAAACTTGGGTTAACCCACTTCTAAAAGTTAGCTCATAAGACTGACTACATAAGCACTTATAAAGAGTATTTTGACTCTATTCCTAACCAATATAAGATATTTTAACAGAATGCATTGTAAGTCAAGGAAGTGAGTGTGTAGTTATATTTTGCAATAAAAGATTTCTTCTATTGATTTGATTCCTTATGGCACAGGTTAACATTTTCCTTTAGTTTTTTACTCAATTACATTGCACTAACCAAAAAAGTTGAGTAAAATGATGGGAGAAATAGTGCATGTCATGTCTTCCAAAATGTGTTTGATCTGCAAACAGCCAGATGCAGATAGAATTAAGAAAACCAAAAGAAGAGATGCTAGCGCATGCAATCTTGTCACTAATCCCCATCGCTTCTGGTCCTACTTATCCTCTAAGTCTGCATCCTATCCACCCTACTATATTTTTTGTTTAATTTCCTAAGTCAGTCAGAGGAAAAAGATTATTATAAGCAAATTTTAATAGTTACTGAGGATTAGAATCAATAAGCATTCAATTTCTTAGTAGATTAGAAAAAGAAAAACATGGAAAATAAAGATTTGTATTGATTGTGGGCATTGGTCTGGCCTGATTAAAAGACATAAGATATATTAAGTTTTAAATGATGGTTACCAACAAATTAAAATTGGTTCAATACAACTTAATTCTTTTACTTTGATAATAATAAGAACAACAATAGCAACAACTAACCTCGTCCTTTCTGAGATCAGGGTAACAATACCAAAGATTAAAAACATTAGAAGCATTCCCGAGTGCTCAAAGTTGTTGAAGTAAGTGGGGTTCAAGACTCCACCTACAAAAAACCTGAGGTGTGTTGCAAATAAGAGCTCAATGCACAAATCAATGAAAGCACCAATTGAAATAACATAAAGCTCCAAGTGCTTGAACCTCCCATCAAACCCCAGTACAGGATTCCAGACCCGGACTCGGAATGTGTTAGGATTTGATGCATATCTCACCAGAGAGCCCCATATATGCCATGCCCCAACTAGAAGAAATAAGGTCCCTGGCAATATATGGCCTATGAAAGACCCCATCTTTCTAATTTGTTTTTACCACTCTTGTAATTAATCTACTGGATTATTCAATCTCCACCTAAAACAGCATGTTAAGCCAATCAACCAATCCTGTTTACAATAAAAGCACAATCAGTTTTCTAACTTCCAACGACAACTTTTTGTATAAAAGTTCATTACAATACTCAGATTCAGTCATAGCAATAGTTTGCCAATCAAGCAATCAAAACCCTTTTTTGTTTCTCGATATTCTCTTGAGCAAGACCAATCTTCAGCATCAACTTTCATTTGTTTTAAAGTTACGAAAGTTAATTCTCACACTTTCATATAAAAATACACGTTCTGATTAGTTCAAGGTCACATTTCAGTCACAACGGTTCAAAATCAATTTCATCAAAATTAACTTCATCCAACTTCAAACCAAATAGACACCTTAAAATTTCATTAAAAGGGAAAACCCAACTCAAGTTTCACTAATAGGGAGATCCACCTATAACTGAAAACTCGTTTCACAACCCCAGCAAAATCTAACCCATCTTTTTGTACCCATGACTAACTACATTTCGTTTCTCTTCTTTTGCTCACAGAGATCCATGTGTATGCGTGCAAGAAAGTTTATTTTTCTATAATAAGCTAAAAAAATCATACGAATGATTAGGTGCTTTATATCATATCATATCATATCATATAGGTCATAACAAGGTTATAAAGAGAGCAAATAGTGATGGAAAAATAGAAGGTTCTGCTTTACTTACTGTGATTGCTTATTCAGGGCATAATGAGCAAAGGTTGATTGGTTTGGATGCAGAAAGCGAAGTCCAATGATTGAGGCATTCGGCAATTAGAAAAAACTATGCTCTCCCAATTTCACGAAATTAATGTATGCATTAAAATATTTCAAAGGCAGTAGTAAAAACTGCAAACTACGAAAAACTAAAAAGAATGTGATTAGGCGGGTGGGGGTGGTGTGACATCACCCGTCGTTAGATGATAGAGGGGATTTGGATTTGCTGCAGTTGTATAAACGTACAACTGGTGCAGTCATGTAAATATAAACCGTTGGATTCATCTGCTCATCACCGGGTTAGAGTATAGTGAAACTCTTTCAACTTATTTAAATTTTATTTGGATTCTACAGTATAACGTTTAATATTTTTTTATTGTATAATTTAATCCTAAAATTAATTGTTAGATTAAAAATTGTAATCACAAATTATATTTATAATATTTTAAATTAATTTAAAATTATTTAATATCTTTTATATATAAGAACATGTTAATAATATTTTTAAATTGTTTAATTTTAATAAAATTTGACACATATAATTTAGGTAATATATATAATTATAATTTAATGATTTATTTGATAAAAATTATTTTTATATTAAGTTATTAATAATGTTAAAGTGAGTGTAACTTTTTAACTTTTACGATTTTAATTTAATCTTAATATACTTAGTGTTTGTAACTTGTGGATTGAATAAAAATATTTTGTCAAAAATATTTTTTTTGAAAATTAATTTTAATAAATTAAATATTTATAATATAAATAAATTTAAAAAAAATTATTTGAATAAAAAAATTTATTTTATTTTTGTTAAGCATCAAATTTTATTAAGGATAAATTTGGAATACAAGAAGTACTCCAACTCATTACAACTTAAAGAATTAACAATACATATCAAATAATCATTAATTCAATTCACATACACAGTTGACCTTTTCAGAAGCTATGCTGCAAGTAACTTTCAAAAATGACATTTAATAGAATTAAACATTTCACTAGCATTTAATATATCATTATTGAAGAGTATTATTCCATTAAAATCAAATTATTTATACTACCGCAAATTATAATATTACAACTTCCTTCTATTTCTTTCTTCCATATAGATTTCCACACATGTTCAGTAATTCCTAGTGTCAATTTTCAATTTTCAAGTAAGTATAAACTGACATTAAATCATTCAAACATCATATACCACACAGTTTTATAGAGATATTGCAATGTAAAAAAGATGTGGTACATTCTCATCTTTAGCATCACACAATCCACAAGCTTATAAGAGAATTATTAATCCGCATTTGGTCAAATCCCTTTCCACTAGAATTATATTAATCTAGTAAAAAAAAGAGTGTTAGGTCTGTGATACTTTCGTTCTAATTAGTTTATGCCTAACCATTATGAATAGCATCATCACACTCATTTTTCCTCGACTTTTCAAATTGTCTCCAAACTCTATACTCCAATGTATCTTTGTAATCATTTACACTAATTTCTTTCATCATAATACACTTTTCTCTATTCATTTCTCATTACTCAGCTAAATAAATTGTGCCAAAGGTCAGCATATCCAGACTTCAAATCAGATATTTCAAAAAAAAAAAAAAAACATTCCAATCATTCAATATCAATCAAATATGCATTACCAACTTTAAAAAATAGTAAAACTTTAATTTAAACATATATTTACGAGATAAATAAACATAATATTACACTTTCATGAGTACAATTATATTTAATGTTTTAACGGTAGGATATAACTCTCATTACCTCGATGAGAAGATTTGCTAGAAGGTTTGCAGAAGATATTGTCCAAAAGATCAAGTTCTTCCTATATATTACAAAATAAAGCACTTTTGAGAAATGAGAAAAATGGAGAAATAGAAACAAGATTGGAGAACTAAGCTTTGAGGAACTTACTTGAGGTCAAGTGGAATAGAAGTCTAGGCTCAGATTCAAAGGTAGTTTGGAGTTTAAGAGAAGTTTCCCTGAAAAAGGAAGTGAGAGAACAAAGAGGAAAGTGAGAAGGGATTGCTTGGCTTACAATATAAGTTTTAAAACAGGGAGATTCCTTAAATATCCTTTTTGGCCTGCTAATTCTTTTTTGAGTAAGCGAACTCTTACTTGAGTGAGACGAATTCTTATCTGGGCGAGACCCCTCTCGCCTAGGTAAGAACACCAGACAGAACTTTTACACGGGTTTCTAATAATCTCATCTAAGCGAAATTTCTTTTCGCTTGAGCGAGATTAGGTCTATAGAGCTCCCAATTTTTCCTGTGCCTTCTCGCTTAGGCAAAAAGACAATTGGGGTAATATTATTCATTTTTACCTGGGTGAGATTTATCTCGCTTGAAACACCTAGTCCAAAAAACTTAGTCTCGACTAAGCGAGACATATCGTAGTATTATTCATTTTTAACTAGGTGAGATTCATCTCGCCTGAGTGAGAATGCTTTGAAACACCTGGTCCAGAAAACTTAGTTTCGACTAAGCGAGACATATCTCCTTCAGTGAGATTTTTTCCAACTTCTAAAAATTTGAAATTCTTCTAATTTAAAATGAAATGCAATAATAAATAAAATAGTTATGCAATAGTAAAATGAGGGTGTTACAATTTTTTTAAAAGTTTTATGGAAATTTGTTGGACCAAATAAAGTTGTGTTCATTCAAGAACCAAACCCAAAGCTTGAAGAAAAAATTTAAACCAAATTTCACAAAAAAAAAAAATAGTGCATATATGACATGAAAATGGCTAGAATTTTGGAAAATTTTGCAAAATTCTCAACCCTATCTAATCCAATTCATTTACAGAGTTTGTGGCTTGAAAGTGAAGTCAATTTGGTAATAATTGAGTGAGGAATCAGCTTAATAGGATAAGTCAATGGGGGAAAAAGCTTGAACTATCAAAATTGCATGAAATGACACTTGATTCTATGAAGGATTCTTATCCAATTAACTTAACTAGATTGTAGCTGATTGTTCACGCTTAGAATGCAGCAATGTGCTTTGCGTAAAATTTACTAACTAGCAAGTGTATTAGATAGTTGTAGCAAATAATAAAATTTGAAAATCAATATGAGTTTCAAGTATCATCCACAAGGATCTATATTTTCAATTACCACTTCACAATTTGACAATTAGTTGAGCCACACAATTTATTTGAAAGATTTGTAACATGTAAAATAAGAAATAAGAACAATAGAAAGTAACAAATGTGCTATAAAACAGAATACGAATTTTGTATTGAAAATACTATGTGGAAAATAATTAGGAATCACTTCATCAGATTTTCAATTGCAATGTAATAATGTTCTGGACTCTTAAGAATTCTAATTGATCAATAATCAATTTCACTTATTTAACTAAAGGACAATCTCTTGCCTCATTGATCATAATACCTAACTAAACTACCCTAATTTGTTCGGTAAATTCAATCAAATATTGTATTAAGTTCTGAAAATTATAGAATTACTAGATTATGATCACTTATTCCTAAGACATCAATAACCTAGGCATATGATTCAAATATGATAAATAAACTCAATTTCATTGATAAAGATTCCTCTAAGTTCAATTGAATGAATGATCAGTCCAACAATTGCATTAAAAACAGAATCAAATACTCAATTCAATTAAAATCTTAAAGTCTAAATCCAAAATCATATTACAACATCAAATCTGGATCCATAGATCCCTAACAAAAAAAGTTTAGAACAACATTACAAATGGAGAAGGAGAAGCAAGAGAAAAAGAAGAAAAGGAGTAGAAGAACATCTTCAAAAATCCAATCTTCACCCTGATTCCTCTAGAGATGAAACTTGAAAGTCACTCCCAATCTCTCTCTCTATGGCTTTCCTAGGAAATTAAAACAGTTGGAAATGAAAAAAAAAAGATCTCAAATCTGAACTCTTAATTGCTATTTATAATTTTTTTCGCCACTTTCCACGTTAACACTTTAATCACTAAGAGTTGTAACGTAGAAGGCTTTCTAGAAGCTTCTAAGGCTGAAGTAGGAATTTTAAACGTCTAAAGTTGACACTTGAAAACAGCTTTTCCAAATTATGTTATTGTGCGTAGACACTTTCAGTAGTTAAAGTTGTTACGTGCATGTGTTTTATGTGAATTAGCTTTACGCGTGGATACTTTCAGCATATAGAGTGGTTACGCGCAACTACGCGTTGGTGCTTTCAGCACCAATAGTTGCTACGCACAGGCTTTCTGTGTGAATTAGCCTTGGGCTTTGATACTCTCACTAGATAAAGTGCTTACGCGCAAGTCTTTTCATGAAATTTTCTACTAGAGTGATAACTTTAAGTAGTTAGAGTTGTTACGCAATTGATCTTCATGGATTTTCTTCTTCAAAGTGTTAACTCTATGCACCAACAACAGCCCTTTTTTTAGTTTGAGCATCACTTTGAAGCACATTTGGTAAGTCACCTTCAGGGGTGGACATTTCAATAGATTCTTCTTCCCCAGAAATCCCAACATCCTCTATATGAATAGGTACTTTCTCAGGCTCATGAACACTGTGAGCAACATATTCCTCCTTAGCCTCAACATCTTCATTCACTTTCTGTGCAACTGTCTTCTTTTGACTGTGTTTTACTCACCCAAATTATAGAACATGTTTATCAAATCCATCATCCATGTTACCATCCCTATCCTCCTCACTATCATCTAGATGAACTTCTTTTAGAGATTCCTCCTCACTACTAGCAAAATTATCCCCAACAATACTCTTGTTGATTACTTCACAAATAGCATACCTCCACACTGTTAGACATGACAAAGTTAGCCATGTCCAAGGCTACATTATCATAGTTGATTTTCTTGAAGTCATAGGGACCAAATTTTCACCATATCTTCACAGGGTGCTTTCCGTAACCTAAGTCTTCTTTTACAATCCCAAGTGCTTCAAAATATGACCAGTTGTCCATATCAATGTTCTTCACAGGAACTGCCTCTTTGCCCCCAATATAGTGCATCACGGGGTCCAACTCAAAATGACTCCCGTGATGAATAATAGTATTGAAAGCCATCTATATACAAAAAAGAATAAATATTTGTGTCAGGTAAAGCAAAATTAATGAAATTAAACCCTAACCCTCAAAATCAAATCGAATAGCACTTATTTTCAACAATGTCCAGAACGGTGCTTCTTATTACTCTTCACTTAACACTAGGTGCTTTCCAAAATAGCAAAAGGTCTCGTCTATTTATGGCAACAAAATGTCACCTCTAGTAACGCTTCTCCTCCATGAACAACCAATCACCAACAACAGTGCTTTGGGAAACAAGGAACAAACAACAATGCAAATGTTTGTTTTTAAAACAAAAAACAATAAAGAATAAAGATGAAGATGAGAAATAAAGTTGAATTTCACATAAGGGATTCAACGATTTTTGCTTTGTATTTTAAAAATTTTCACTTGTAAATAAGGAGTGAGGAACTGCCCAGATTCCTTCCTTCAACACTGTGATGTTTATTTTTTTTAGTTTTTAATTTTAAAAAAATGTTGATGTGAATTTATGATTTGGAAATTTAAGGGTGAGATGAAGGAGAGAGATTGAGGGTGACATGGCAAACTATGAGCCACGTCTTTGTGATGAATCCACATTTTATTCAATTTTTACTTGTCATTTTGATGTTTCTTAATAAAAAAAAGTAAATTTAGGAAGTGTAAATAACATAAAAATATCATTTTGGTCAAATATCATAGGTTTCTTAATTTTTGGTTAATTTACATTAATTTACATAGATATAGTTTGTAATTTTGATCATTTGAATGATTGTGCAAGAATTTCTAGACTTTTTCCATGGATTTTCAGCATTTGAGAAAGTTTGATATGAAAGTGAATACTTTGGATTCCACAATGAATACTACAGCAAGCTAAATCCAGAAGGGCAGACTAAAGTGATCACTATGAACCCATAGTAATAACTACAGAGACCCATTTTGAAGAAGTGTTGTGCGTGCTTACTTTGGAACCATAGTAGACACTCTAGAGCAGCCAAAGTTATCACTCTGATACCAAAGTGACAACTCCAGAGAGGCCAAAAGCACATGACTTGCGCGTGGCTACTATGAGGCGAAAGTAACTATTATGGAACACTGCGCGTTATCACTATGATGCCAAAGGGATAACTCCAGAGAGACCCAAATCACAGGACTTACGCGTAACTACTATAGAGCGATAGTAACTACTATGGAGCACTGCGCATTATTACTATGAAACTATAGTAGTTACTTTGAGTGAAAATTTTTGCACTATAAATAGGATTTGAGAAATTAGGGTACGAAGTTTTTTACATTATTTTAGATTTTTTTGCCACTTTGGGAGCATTTTGCAGAGCTTAGAATCCTTGGGTGACAGCCAAGACCAATCTTAGGGTTTGATTTACAATTTCTCCTCATTTTCCTTTAATTCTTGCATTGATGATGTTGAATTTTCTTTATTTTCATCTTGAATTTTTAAGACTCATCCTTATGGAGGGCTAAACTTTCTTGTAATCCTTAGTGAGTTCATGGATTATTGAATTCTTGGGTATGAATGTCAATATAATTCCCTTTCCTTCATGAATTTACATTTTCCAACTCTTTGAATTGAATTAATGGTTGAATGAGGGGGACATTGTTTAATTAACCCTAATTCGTTTTAATGAAATTCTTAACTTAGTTTACTTAATCTTAAGTTAATTTCTAAGGTTGCATAATCTTGGAGAAAAGAGTTGGAGCCCATGTAAATTGCTTAATTTGTATAGGACGTTAAGGTTAATTCTTGTTTTTTGAGTTACCCTAATTCAGAGGAAGAGGAAAAGTATTGACTCTTGAGAGGCATAGGGATAGAATTACATGAACAAACTAAGGATTGCACATTTCATTGATTGGATTCATTAATTTCATTATTTGCCTTTACATTAAAATTGGAATTACATAAAACCCCATTCTTTAATTGCTTTTATAGTAAATGTTTACAACATGTTTAATGTATGTTACAAACTAAAGTCGTTGGAGAAAATCTAGGCTTATATTCTATACTATATAAATTTTTCTGCATATTTTGATGAAAGTTGACGACAAATCTTTTTGCAAACGAAAAAAAATTTTTGCTCATCACTTTGTCACGTCATTATTTAACTGGCGAATGTTAACATAAGATGCAAAATTAAAAAAAAATTAGTTAAGTATTAAAATGAAAAAGATTTATATGTAGTAATTTGAAATAAACTTTATTTAGATGCAGTAAAAGAATATTTAAACCAAAGTATAATAAAAAAATGACGAAAATGTTTTGCTTTGAATTTAGTTTGTTATCTTTTGAAGTAATCATGATGTTTGTATGCATGTCATGAACTTTTTTTCACTTGACAAATACTATTTGGTGTTTAAGTTTTCATGTTTATTTCTATTTTAAAATCAACTTAATTTTGAGTAGCTTTAAAAATAATTTACTTTGCTATTATTCTAATTTTATCATATGTCTATTGTTACACTACTTATATATGTTGTGGTACATGTGTTTTATTAGCTCAATAATGAAAATTATACATATTAACTAACATGTGTAAATAGAATGTAGATTTTTTTTTTAAATTGTTGGTTAATCAAAATTAATTAAGCAAAAACTGAAGTTAATATAGAAAAAGCAAAATTTAACGTAAAATAAAAAGTAATAATGAGATAGTAATAACTTTTTATTGCTTTGCTAAAAGAAAAAATAAAACTTATAGAACATTTATAGATGTGTTTACTATTGATTAGAGTTTAAGTATATTCTAACAAAATTAATGATAATGTACGTGATTCAATAAAATTTTATCAAATTTTTTTTTAAATTTTAATATTATTTAAGTAAAGTCTCAAATTTAAGTTATTATATATATAAAAAAATTTTAATAATAGATTTATCCATCACTTTTAAGTACATAATTTAGGTCAGATTTAAATTAAATCAGATAAATTTTTTTTTCTAAAAAATATTAATAATATATTTTTAATACATTATTTTTAGTTATTAATTAACATCTCTAAAAATTATAAAAATATGAATTATACTCTTAATTATTGATTTTTACTTATATTTTTACAATTTCTAATAAGTATAGTCAATAATTGATAATATTAATGAGTGTATAGTTAATATTTCTTTACTTTTCGAACATTTTACCTCCTGCTCAAGATCCTCGAGGTCGTGCATTTTCTTCACAATAAAAGAGTCAATTGATTACTTTATGAAACATATCAACTTTTTTTTGGTAAAACAAAATTATTTCTCCCTAATTTATTTATTTGCAAGCGTATACGGAAGCATTTTTCTTAAACAGAAATTGAATGTTTATTTTTGCAACAGTAATGCTTTTGAGCTTACGCAGTTGGCTTGAGCTGCCACACCAGAGTCACACCGTCACACGCTGGAGGAATAGAAAGACAAATGTGGAAGAGAGGCATGGTCGCCGCCGTCGGTGCACTCCGGCGGCCATTTACGTCGGGAGTTCGCGACGCCACCATCATCTCCTCCGCCATGAACTCCATGCTTTTCCACTCCCTTAAGGATAACTATATGGAAGTGGCCAAAATGGACATGCCTCATGTACTCTCTCTTTCTCTCTCTGTTTCTCTCTATTAGGGTTTTGGGTTTAGATTCACGCGACATTTACATTTGTGCATCGCAGAAAGTGAGTCCTCCGTCGCTAATAACGATCGACGAAGCTGCTTCGATCGCTATCGATAATCGTGTTCCAGCTACCGTCATAACTGGTTTTCTTGGCTCTGGAAAGGTGTCCCTTCCCCTCCCTCCCATTTTTCATTGTTTTATTTTATTTTTCTTTAGTAGTATGAAAAAATAACGTTTTATAAAGCAAAAGCTTTAAAATAAAACGGTTAAAAACATTTCTTATTTTCTTTTGCTTACTTGCAGAATTTTTCTAGTTGCTTTTGTTTTTCATTTTAAGTTTTTACCAATTGAATAATTTATAACTCAGTTTTTGGTAATGCAGACTACTCTCCTTAATCATATTCTGACATCCCAACATGGCAAGCGAATAGCTGTCATTGAAAATGAGGTATCTAATTTGACTATCTATATAATTCCACAGAATTCTGTGTAGTCTTAATTTTTCTATGTAACAAGAAGTTCCATGTAATTAGATGATGGCCTTGTTGAGTTTAATTGATTGACAATATTAAATTTCAATAATTCCACCATATTTTGAATTAAGAGTAATTTTTCTTTTTGTGAAATCTCAGTTACAAATATGTAGGTCCATATATAACTTGGGGGTGTTCAAAACTGTACCAAACATTTTCAAATTGCCAAACCAATTCAAAAAGTTGAAAATTGAAAATCGATTGAATCGAAAATTGATCAAACCAAAAGCTGGAAAAAACTGCATTTTATATCGTGGTTTGGTTCGGTTTCTGATTGCTGTTGTTAAAACCCAAACCCAAACCAAGCCCAACAGCACCTATAATATATATATATATATATAAAAGAAAGGATCTTTTTACACCAATGTAAGTCTAAAAACTCTTATATTCAATCTGAGTCTTTCATTTAACTTAAATTTAACGGTCAGTAAAGTAATAAATTATAACCTGTTAGATTTAAGTTAAATGAAAAGTTCAAATTAGATGTTAGACTTATACTGGTATAAGAAGATCTTGTTCCATATATATATATATTGTTTTTTTTGTTGTTTTCACTTAAAAACTATTTTTCCTTATTCTTGTCATAACATTATATAAATATATGGTGCATCACTTCTATCTACTCTAGACTCTTCTCTCAATTGAGTATCCATTTTTTCTCTTCTACATCAATTCTAATTTTAACATCTCTTTTCTCTACTTTTTGTTTTTCCAACAAAGTCTTTTGATTTTTGGGTTATAAATAAATAATTAAATTTTAGAGGAATAAAAGTCATTTAAAAACAAATAAAAGCCAATCCAAACTATACTGCAAAATATCAGTTTGGTTTGGTTCAGTTTTGATACTGCATTGAAACTGAACCACATACTATTTTTATGTTTGGTTTGGATGACTTTTTGAGCAAAATTGAACCAAATCAAACCGTGAATACCCCAATATAACTTAGGATGTATCAGCATGTTTCTAATGACATGGAATCAAGCTAAACTAACTGCTAGCACTTACCTGTTTATGGTACATTGCATGTAGTAATGTGTTGAAAAGATTTTTCAGCATGTTATTTATTTGAAGCTAGTGTGAAGTAAGTGAGAATTTGAGTACGATCTGACCTCTAATATTATGGGCTTACATACAAGTATTCATGAAATTATGCAGTTTGGTGAGGTTGATATTGATGGATCATTGGTTGCTAGTCATTCTTCTGTGAGTGAAGATATTATCATGGTTAACAATGGCTGCCTCTGCTGCACTGTGCGAGGAGATCTAGTTAAAATGCTGTTGGAGCTTGTTAGGAAAAAACGAGACAATTTTGATCATATTGTTATTGAAACCACAGGTTTGTAAGTTGCTGATGTTGTTAAAGAATCTGCACAGTGGGGATTTGGGATGGAAAAATTACCTGCACGTACGGATATTGGTGGGTAAAAATACCTGTACCCATGGATACCCATGGGTTTAATTAAACAGATTTTTTCTACCCAGGGCGGGTGTGGGTATTAACTTACCATACCCGTAGATAACTGTTAAAATGTCCTTATGTATATTCAATCAAATATGTTTCTAACTTTTTTATTCTATGATAATTTTGATTTGTGCTTCATAACTTAATATTGTATTATTGTTATTGTAACAAAGTACTGTACTATTTTTGTAACTCAAATTGTTTTATTTTTTTCTTCTAATTAGTAATTACAATTGTATATATGTCATTTTGAATGAGGTTATTTTAATATTATTCTATAATTTTCTAATAAATATTCATAGATATTTATGGATACCCACGGATAATAGCAAATCTGTTTAAAACCTGCGAAGAATACCTGCACAGGTTTGAGGCAGGTTCTTACCCTCAGATACCTACTGTCTGTGCCTGCCCAGCCCCACTGACATCCCTAGTGGGGAATGTGGTGTTAGAGGTTTAAAAATAAACTGATCATTGTTATGTTTCTTGTGGTAGTTTGAAATTCACACTGTTTGGGGCTTTTGGGTCTTAGGTTGAAGTAAAAAAAAGTGATTTAATGAAAGGGATCGTATAAAAAAGATTTGTGAATCACAATGAGTTTTATTGTCCTTATCCTTATCTGGTGCTTAGAAATCTTTTAGGAACTCTTTTCTGTGGTTCTAAAAGTTTGTTTGGAAGCTTTAGTCTTTCACATGGATGGCTAACAAGTTGAGGGTGTGACAAAAAATTGTGTTCACTTTTGTTAACTACATCTGTTAGGTGTATGAAATAATTGAACAGGGCATATATTTTAAAGTTTATTTAATACCCTTTTACAGGTCTTGCAAAGCCAGCTCCTGTCATTGAAACATTTTGCAGTGATGAGCTGGTTTCACAGTATGTGAAACTGGATGGAGTTGTGACTCTGGTTGACTGCAAGCATGCCATGAAACATTTAAATGAAGTGAAACCAAGATTTGTGGTTAATGAGGCAGTAGAGCAAGTTGCATATGCTGACCGTATTATTTTGAACAAGGTAAGCTTCTGCCTTTAAGATTCTCTGGTAGTATTTCTGTGTTCTCTTCAACTTTCTTCTTTTCCAATATTTACTACTAAATTGTGTTAGTTCGTGTTTCTAGAATCTGATTTTCTAAATGCTTTTGCAGATAGATTTGGTTACTGAATCTGAGTTAAATATATTGACTAAGAAAATTAAGGTATGTTTTTTATACTTATGCATCCTATAGACACTGTATTCCTTAATTGAACTACAATGGTAATGGAATTCTATGCAGTGAAAAGTAGATTGGTATTGAACTCAATCTAGATTCATGAAATGAATTTATGTACAACTTTCATAGAGTTCACTCTGCCCTGGGTGACTCTCTTTTTCAATGATTATGAGCCTGTTTGTTTGTCTTAGCTTTTTCTCATGAAAAATCACTTTTAAAGCTTTTAGGGTGTTTGTTTATGCTTTTGAAAAAAAAATAAATTTCAGAATCAGAAAATAAATAAGATTTCTGTTTATTTTGACAAAGTAATTTGAGTAGCTTTTGAAAAAAAAACTATAACTATAACGAATTTTCAAAGTAAAAAGTACTTTTTATGTGCAACTGAATCAAAAATATCTTCTGATTCTTATAAAATCTCAAAAATAAATAACTTTTAATGACTTTTTCTAAAAGCTTAAACAGACAGGCCCTATATTTCTATTTTTAATTGGTAAATGGACGGGGACTGATAGATAGATTGGATTGGGTATTGAATGTACTGTACCTATACCATGTTTTTCATGTTGACTGATGATATTAGTTCTTCTCTTTTGCTGATTTTTCCAATATGGATAGAACAGATCGGTAGTTTTGTATTAAATTTTAATCCTTGATATAGGGAAAAATGTATTAAATATGCAATAACTGTTATGATGCATTGATAACCATTTCATGCTGTTATTATAATGTGATCGATGTGTATGTATTGGAGAAGAGAGTGAGAAAGAAATTCAATTTACTTTTTATGAAATGGAACAGACTGTTGTGCTTTTATTTCTGTTTATATTGTTTTTTATCAGCTTCTATAGCAATGTGTGTGAATGTACTTGATTCCCCAAGAAAATAACGCTTATGGAAGTAGTTCTTTGTTGCGTTCAATTGTTACTAGCACATCAATGGAATGGCACAAATTAAGCAAGCAAAATTTGGATCTGTTGACATAGACTTTGTTCTGGGTGTGGGAGGATATGATCTTGAGAGGTAATGGTTATTCATTTATATTCAATCTTCTAACATATTGCTACTTTATTTACAATTTTTAGCTCTCATTAATCATTATAGTACTTGATGTATCTCTTGCTTCCACTACTCCTTTTCTTTCCTGAATAATATGGATATAAGTATGGCATAATGCATATTTAATTATTTATACATCTCATTTGCTGCAAATTTATCTATTTTTCAATCAAAATGGATTAATATTGCAGGATTGAATCGGAGGTACATGGAGAATGTCCCTCTTCTACAAGCCATCAGGATGATTCTGGACATGGTAATTTTTCTACTCCCTTTTCCCATTTTTTTTGGTTATTTTTTTCAACTCTGTTGTTAGAGTTGGCTGCGATATAAAGGTCAATGATATTGAAATGAAAAACAGAGGGTGGTGTTGATGGGTCATGTGAATTTGATTGAATTTCATCTATTAAGAGAAACACTAGATTGCATCATGGTAGATCCTTCTCTTCTCAAAATACTAAAATAGAAATAGTGAAGAATGATGTGGAGTTGACGTCTTCCGTTTAGAAGTCTAGCTTTGTATATTTTACTATTTTGTGTATTTGGTTTTGGACAACAGGTACTCCTCTATGGAAAAGTGCGCTTCCAGCTTATGTTTCAGAAACTCTTGAACAAAGGAAATATCAATTAATATAATAATCATCAAGAGAGTGTCAACTGTTATTCCCAAAGGTCTATTTATATATCCAACATAGTCAAACACCCTAGTAAAGTTATTCTTAATTACGTATTCTATGATGAAATAAGATAATCCACCGTAGAATAAAACCCCTGAATAACAAATAACAATGAATAAAGCTGAATTGAAAACCCTGTTATCAAATTAAAAGCCCTAAGTAAATCACAAAACTGATAATAGAACGTTCATTGTTCCCATTGGGTGAGAAGGAATCTCTCTTGAAGAGTCAAAAGACAGAAAGATCTGATGGGCATAAAATCTAGCAAATAAAAATCATCCACTAGGTCTAAAATAGCATCAAATGTAGGACATTTGCTTGACTTCACAAAATTACCGGCAAAAAGTAGGACCGTTAGAGCTATCATAATTCATCATATGAGACTTTCCATCTCATTTGATGATGGAGGATTAATTGGAAAATTGGAACCTTAAGAAGATGTGGGATGTGTAGAATGCTAGAAATAGGTGGGGGCACTTAGTAAGGATGAGATATGCTTTGAAATGGTGTTAGATTCTCGATGTTGAAAATAAGACTAATAGTCATATTACCATGCATTAGACCAAGATTTAGCTAACATAGGAAAAGGCCTTAGCGCTTTAGCATGTGATAGGAACTAGGATAAAGGGCCCAGGCCCAAGTAGACAAAATGTGTATGTTGGTTATAATTGGAGGTGTGTAGCATGCGAGGGGATATATAAGGAGATAGTGGGGATACATGAGATGAGGTTGCATTAATTTGTTATAAAGCTGTTTAGTTAGGTAGGGAATGCACAAAGCATTTCTCTAAAGGAGCCTAGAGCTTTGGGCTGGTTAAGGTTTATCTCTACTAGAATATTTGTTCTTTAATTCACATTTCGATCAATACAGTTTCTTCTATTTCCTATAATCCATTTGTGGGTCCTGTCAGCATGCCACTGTTTGAATAAGTGTAGGATGAAGGTCAAGAGACTGAAGACTGTTTAGCATAAAATAGTCACATTAAAACTCTTAGCTCAAAAATGCACCCTAACAAGGTTGTCCAACCTGAAGAGTTATGTAAATTTGTGGACTGCTCTTAAATTCGTAAAAGTTTACCTCATGCAAAAATAAAAATAAAAATAAAAATGTGATTTACAATTATCTAAAATCACGCTAATTACTTAGTTATTCTATTTATAATATTACCATATTAACTATTTACATTAATCTCATGACTCTCAAATTGAAGCATATAAATGATGCGTACCAAACCTGTTACATATTTAGCTGATTCAATGCCCCCTCAAAGACTTAATGAAGATATCTGTTAGTTGATCATTAAAATTGACCAATTGAGTAGCAATATCTTCAAATAAGATCTTTTTTCTAATGAAGTGACAAATAATTTCAATATGTGTCCTTTTATGAAAAATGGGGTTTGAGGCAAAAATGAAGAGAAGCCTGATTGTCCCTAATTTGGGTCATCTGTGCAATCTCTACAAACATCAATTCCTTCATAGTTGTTTGAGTCATGAGTTCATAAGTTGCTAAAGTCATGACTTGATACCTTGCTTCTACACTTGACTGTCCAACAACTCTTTGTTTCTAATTTTTTCAAAAGATAAAGTTATCATCGATGAAAACACAATATCCAAAGGCTGACATCCAACTTGTAGGATAGCTTGTTTAATCTGCATCTATATATCCTATAATTCAAGTGTCCTCCTTTGGCTTCATACAAAATGTATTTTCTTAGAGGTTAGAGCTCACTTGATATATTTTATGATGTGAACAACTGCATCCTATTGTTTTCTATAATAAGAGTTGAGAAATTTACTCACCACACTAATAACAAAAGAGATATTACAAGTGATAGTGAGGCAATTTAACATCTGAACAAACCTTCAGCATTTCTTTGGAATGCAACAGGCTCCCACTATCCTGGTAGGAGCTTGATATTAGAGTCCATAGAAGTATCAATAGACTCGACAGTGATCAATCCTGTCTCTTACTCTCTTCTAGGTTGTTTATAACATACTTTGAAAACTTACAATATCATTTTTGAATTGAGCAACTTCTCTTCTCAAATTTATTTAAGTCTATTAAGATCCTTTGTCTAGAAGTGGTGACAAAGATGTTTCACCTATGATGGTCACTATTTTTTATGACAATGGCATTGCATAGACTGAGGTAAATGCATTCAATGGTAGAGTGGCAATAGAAGACAGAATAATCAGCTTCACTCCAAATCATACCAAATTGTTGAAACACTATACTAAACCTACCAAACCGTGTTTGAGGAGGTTTCTCAAGACCATATAAGACCGTAGTGAAAAATATGTCTCAGACCCCCCATGAGAAAAAAAACTATAAGGTTGCTCCATATAAACTTCTTTTAGAAGGTTCTTATGTAGAAAGACATTCTTGATGTCCAATTGAAAAAGGGGCCAATGACGAATGATTGTCATAGATAAGAACAAGTGAACAAAGGACATCTTGGCTACAAGTGAGAATGTGTTACTATAATTCAGATAAAAAATATAGGTATAACCTTTGGCTACCAGACAAACCTAATTGATCCACGTTGATAATTAATGAAAAACTTCCCAAGAGGGAGAGGGACAAGGTCCCAACTATTGTTGTGCCTATGTTAGAGCATGCTCATTTCATCAACTATGGCTTGTTTCTAGCTAGAATGAGCTAAGACATCACCTATAGACTTAGGAATAGAAACAAAAGACAAAGAAAATCGACAAGTGTAATGGAAAGGAGATAAACAATGATAACTAATATTAATATAATCAGAAGGATTACAAGAATGTATACCTTTACAGATCGCAATGAAAAGGTCTAACTTAGAAGGTGAGGTTAGAGAGGGAAAATGACATGATACCAAACGTGAGTTAGTAGTGAGGTGGTTATGTGTCAATGGTGGAGCTAAAGATAGTTGTTGTCATTGATGGTACAATAATAGGGTAGAGTAAATTAGGTAGTGTTGGAGACTTCTTTGGAGGAGAAAAGTGAATTAAGATCAAGGAGGAAATATTTGAAGAATCAGAAGAAGACAAAGAGTCATAAAATATGTTAAACTCAAAAAAGGAAACACCAAGACATATAAGATAGCAACAAAGAGTAGGAGAATAAAACTTGTACCCTTTTGAGATTAAGTATAACTGAGGAAGATATATTTGTGGGAATGAGTAGAGTTTATCTAGCTTAGGACTAATATTGTGGACAAAACAAGTGGATTTAAAGACTAGAAGAGACAAGGGATGAAGGGGCTGATGTGGATACAACACCTGTTATAATATTTTCTCCTTCCAAGTTGTAAAGACAACATCACCCTAGAAAAGGTAGGGAACATGAGCATGAAGAAGGTGTGAGTAGGCTATCAGGAGTATGGGGGCAAGATGTCTGATCGAGAATCCCATGTGAGACAACAAAACTACGAAAGGCAGAAGACAAATATTCTTTGGCATGATTATTATGTAAAGTACGAATGAGAACACCAAATTGAGTTTTTACTTTATTATAAAATGACTGAAAGATAGAAAATAACTCTAAACGTTCTTTCATTAAATAAAGTCAAGTACATCGAGAAAAATCATTGATGAAAGTGAAAGCATTTTGACCTACATGACTAGGACCCCATAAAGCTAAATGAACTAAAATAAAGGGAGACGAAGTTTGTCTAGTGACATGACAAGGAAATGAACTACAAACATGTTTACCTAATTGACACAACTCACAAGATTAAAAAGGCAACTTGAACGAACATGCTTTGAGTTAGCAAGATTAGGATGACCTAGTTTGGGCATGAACTACAAGTGGAGAGTCTAGTATGGAACCAATGAGAGGATTGTCAGAGCTGGTATACAGATCATGGCACTCACATTCAAAGCTTATCATCTTCGAATTTTGGTCTTGCAGAGTAACAGAATATTTGGTAAATGAAATAATGTAATTAAATGTATGAGTGAGACAATGAATATTCAGTAGATTAAAAGGAGACTTGGGGACATAGAAGACATTATCAATGGAGACATAAGAAAGAATGGAGACTGTGACAATACCTTGAGATCGTGGGTAAGTGCTTGTGGAAATCATGAAGGAGGCCAGACATCCTTGGTGGCACTACTTGAGCTACTTGCTAGTTTTGTCAATTGGAAGTAAGTACTTGTTGAAATCATGGAGGAGGCCAGAGACCCGACTCAGATAGGTAGCAAGAGTCATCAAAGTAGCAAGCACCAGTAATGGTCATAAGGTCATGGCAAGTCATTGAGTGTTATTGGTGTATAGGAACTCAGCTGGTACCCACTTGGCTTCACACGTCTCATGGGCATGGAAGACAGGCCAAATAGAGGGATGAAGGGTGACCTTAATTATGCAACAAAGTTGAGCATCAATCTTCATACAGTGAGGGTTGGCTGCCTCTGCAATAGTATTAGTCTTCATGGTGAGATGGTTGTCGTAATCTTTTCTGACAAGGCAAAGATGTAAATTAAATCCTAAGTGGCATAATTCTAACCATCCAATTGTTTAGTTGAGAGAGGAGCAATGACGTGGTTGGTGAAGATGGCAGGTCCAGCATTGGGGGTTGAGAGCAGCCATGGGTAGCACTGAAGAGAGAGAAAATGACTCTGTACAGTACAAAAAATGTCAAACAGGAGGTTAGGGACCCACAATCAAGTTAAGCTACAGCAGATCCACAAAGAGAATGTTGTGGCAATGCAAACGATGTGAGTGATGGCTGGAGAAATGGCTGGTCACGATGCCACGTGTGGCAGAAAAGGCTGGCCACTGTGGGGCTGTGGTGGGGCCTTGATGAGGGTGGGTCGGCCTGAGGTTGGGTTGTGCAAGTGACAGCCACCCAGATCCACTGGTTAGTGGTTGGAACAGTCATCAGAAAAGGTGAACACTGGTGATGAACAATACCAGCTGGAGGGAGAGCTGGCCAGAGACAAACCAAAAACCGAAACTAAATGCGGTTTCTGAAAAAATTTTATGCCAATGGATGACAAACCTCTTCAGTTCTGGATATTCATCCCCATTGAAGTACCCCCATGCTCAAGAAAGTATAACCGTCCTAGTAGATTTAGCATCAAGATCAGAAAGACCTTGAGCATAATGAAACTTAGGAATTTGATTATGAAGCTTATCCCTCATTGTTCGGTCATCACCATCCTTGCCAAACAAGGATAAAACCCTTGTTTAACCTCAAAATCATCTTCTCTAAAATTATGATATGTAAATACCTAGTTTTATCCGACTTTTTTGTGTTTTATGTGAATACCCAGACTCAAGAGATGCTTTGAAAAGGTTCAAAATGTTGGACTAGAGGAGGGAGCTCAAATGTGCACTGTGTGCCACTGGGGGAGAAGAGATATTAGGTTAAGAAACCCCATGAAACTGGGTGTTTTGTTGTCCAGTTAGGTCTCCCAACCTGACCTGGGAAATTGCAGGGGCAAAACTCAGTCACAGTTCACAGATTGCATGTCTCGCAAGCAAGTCTGGTGATCTGGCCAAATCCAACTGCCTGGCATCCTGGGGTTGTAACAGAGCAGGGAAATGGATGGAATCTTGTACAATCCTATGAGTATACTCACATTTTTAACAATGTCTAAATTTTGAAAAATAAAAAAGTTTGCATGACTTGATTGATAAAATAGCTTGTTTTTGTCCAGCATTCTGAACCTCTGTTAGACCAAAGGAGATAATTTTGCCTTTAGAAAAACTCCGTTTCTAATAATGCTTAGGGAATTGTGAACAGAGCGTGAACAGGATATCCAAATAGGCTTAAAATGTTTCCAGATTATTCTTGCTCATTTATTCTTGTGATTCTGCATGACTTGATATTTATGAATGTATCAACAGAACACAAAGGACATCATCATCACGACCATGTGCATGATTCTGCTGTCTCTAGTTTCAGTATTGTTGCAGAGGGAACTCTTGATCTTGATGAGGTAATTGTTACTCTTTTTTTTTTTTTTTACTTTTCTTTTTTAATCCCTTACAAAATACTGTCTTAAATCGCTGCATTTCTTTTTATTGATTCGACTTATATGCTGCAACTCTTACATTTATGGTGCTTTTGTTTATGGCCTTATCCCACCTTTTTTTCGGATTAAATGACCTCTAGGTTGACGATTGGCTTGAAAGAGTGATAGAGGAAAAAGGAGAGGACCTTTACAGAATGAAGGGTGTCTTGTCAGTGGATGGTTCTGATCAAAGATATGTGTTTCAGGTCCTCTTCTGCAGATGTTATCATGTTTCTATTACCTATATGTAGTATTTTTAAGTATTCAGCGAAAATTTTCCCTCAACCTCTTATCCCATTTTCCCTAATTCTTTCAGGGGGTGCATTCCACGTTGGATGGAAGTCCAGGAAAAACATGGGAACCTAACGAGAAGAGGATAAACAAACTTGTCTTCATTGGAAGGAATTTGGACGAAACTGCCCTTAGAAAAGGCTTCAAAGGGTGTCTAGTATAGAATTAAAAACCCGTTCCCAGCCTAGTTCCGAAGCGATTGTGGTACCATCCGAAAATGTGGCTCGTGCTTGATTGGATTGACAGACCCCACTTGTTATGTGGTATGAATATTATCATATGCATTGATCGTGTGGGTCAAAATAGAGTGAATTCCATATATTATCATAAGCAACAATATTTGAGGAGAGTAAAAACATATAAAATACGTAATGCAAGTAGGAGTATTCGTTACATCAGCCTTACCCGGAGAATGTAAAAATACACATCAAACCAATCAAATTGGTTTGGATTAATTTAGATAATCAGTTTCTTATTTTACATATAAACTAAATTAATTATAATCGGTTTGATTTTGAGATTAATCTTTTTCAACCTGAATCAGCTTAATCACCCAATCATAGTTTTCTTATAATTTTAAACCTTTAAATTAATGTGTTTTTTAGACTTGGTATTTATATTAGAATTATTTTTTAACTTGTCTTTTTTTTTATACCCCATTCATTTCAAGCATTTCATCTAATGTTACTAAGAGTCTTTGGTCTTGTTTATTATTAAATTTCAATACCATGTTTTGGGTAACGGATAATGAGGTTTATAAATTTTTAATTGTTGAAAAAGGAAAAATAATATTTAAAGTATTACCAGGTTTTGAAATTAATTAGTCTAAAATTAGTAAGAAAAGATATAAACTTACATTAATTTTAAATTTTATGTAAAAAGGTAAAGCATATGTGAAAAACAATACAATGTTTTTACGCAAAACTAGCTGTAACACCTTGCAGTGGCTTCACCACTGAGATTTGAAGCGTCGTTTAAAAGAGTGGCGGGGCTTGCAGCATTGAATTTTTTCAATTGCAGTGTTACTTTTTAATCAATCCATTTAGAAAAGACAGTGTTAACTAGTTTTTCTTTTTGATTCTTTGACTTGGGTTACCTAGGAAGTAATATTCCATTAAAATTAACACCAAACAGAAGTTCTGTTAATGAGACAGGAAGGAGTTTATTAATTGAAAAAGAAATCGAAAATAGGGTTGAGTCATTTATTTAAATCTCAAGGGAGATGTTATTTACTTAAGTTTATATTGCAATGAAATAGAATTAAATTCAATATTTTATTCCAAAATCTATTCATGCCTCTTTGGAACAAGGAAAATGTAAGTTCTCTGTTAGAGCTCTTTGAGTTGAGCACCTTTTCTTACTTTGAAATTGAACAGTATCCACTCCTAAAAATCTCAAGTTTGATGAGTTAACAGAGAATATCTTCCACTTAGCAGATGATTCAAGTTATCTGATCAATATGGTCTCATTTAATTGGCTGACCTATATGCTTCAGCAAAAAGATTATAAGGATTTATGAAAGACAAACTTCACCACAGTAATAAGGGATATAAAATTTTCTTGATGAAGCTAATGTTTTCTTAAATTGAAAAAAAAAAATGTAAAAGCTAAGGGTGAAAAGAAAAGAAAAGAAAAAAAAAATGACGTGTTGGATTAAGTGAAAATTTGAATACTTTACGCAGTTACATTTTTTTTTCTACATTTATCTTAATTTTGGTTTTGATTTCTATATTTTAAAAATTTAATGGTTGGTCCGTATAGTTTTATAATCTTAGATCTTGATCCTTGTAGCTATATTTCACCCATTATATGCATATTGAGTTGAATTTCAAATATTTATGTATAAAAAAATTACTTAATCTCATTTACTGAACGAGAATATATTCTTGTAAAGGAAATATTTTATAATCAGATGTCTAACCAAATGCAATCATCGGATGAGATGTTTGACTGCTGAAAAATCCAATCCATATAATATTATTATAGTAGTTGATAAAACCAATTGCCTGTTGGGTTTCATATCATGTCACACACTCATACCCTTTCAATAAAGGTTATTTTAGCTAACAGTCATGTTCATGTTTGAATCACTGATTCGTAAAGAACGAGTTCCTATTACACATAAATTTTTAGGTACTCATCCATGCGTGTGTAATTCACTTCAGGGTAAAGCTTGGATGCTTCTTCTCCATCGTCCCCAATTTCAAAATTTGTTAAACATCCCTCGTAGAATATATGATAGAAGTGCCCAATTCCTACTTGAAGTTTATAATCCAAACCTGAAAATCAAATGCACATGAATACGTGTAAGGTACATAACTCGGTGTACACAAAGTCACAAACTAAATTTAGGACAATTAATTGAATTTGATACCTTTCAATGTTGTAAGAAAGCCTTCTGGAGTTATGTATGTTTTCTCCAGTTCCTTCCCAATAAGCTTCTCCCAAATTCCAATAAGCTCTCCTTGGGAGAGAACATTTTCTGGGGGCCTTAGGTACAATGTTTTGTTAAGGGTTCGAGGATCATCTATTGTCTTGATTGTATATGTGGCAACATCATTTTCATCCAGGAAAACAGCTGAAATGATGTTCACAAAAATGTGACAATGATAAACCATTTTATTTAATCATATTCAGTGTTGGATGAAAATTTAATTTAAAATTAAAAGGGTACCTTTGAGTTTGCCATCTCCAAAGAGATGCACCTTGTGCCTTGGAGGCATAAAAGACCCCATTTGAGAGAGACTGCCAGCAAAGTATCCAGCAAAAAGGTTTGCAGAGATGTAAGTGAAAGGGATCTTAGCTTCCTCTATGGCTTTCCTTACAGCCATTTTATCATCAAATGTTACCCTTCCTGGTTCTAATGCATGTCCCATCCTTGCTGGGTCAAGGCCAAATTCGGAAGGCAAGAAACGCTTGAGGGAAAGACAAAAAGAGTTTCATTATATTGTTTCGCAATTACTGTCCATTTACACATTTCATTATGCCAAATTCCAAACTCAAATCATTCATCAAGCTACCAATCATATCATATCTGATTCCAGTCATTTAATTCAAATACATGTTTATCCTAATAATAAACATTTGTCCCAATTCGAAAATGGCTAACAGGCAACGAATTCAACACAAATCAGAATGTCGGTCCAAGTGATAAATATCAAAATACCTTCTAATTTATTTATGGCAATCATGACATAAAAATCATATTTTCAAGAAATAATTAAAGAAAGCAAGAGAAAGAGACAAAAGAAGGGTCAAACTAGAAAACCTTAACGTTCCCAGCTTCCTTGATGGCCTCAACAAGTTTGAGTTGCAAAGTGATGCTGTGGCTCCTAATATGAACGCCAGAGATGGCACTGATGACAACATCAACACGCTTAACGGCATCAACAAGGGTCTTGTGATCAGAGAAAGAGGCTTCAACTAAATGGGCACCTTCCTTCTTCAAAGAGAGTAACATCTGAATCTTCTCAATTTGGAGGCCCAACTCAGGGCGTTGAAGCACAAAGGTTTCATGGCCCTCTGCTAAGCATGCCTTCACTATCCTCCTTCCTATGTATCCTGTTCCACCCACCACAAGAACCTTACTCTTCCCCATTACCTTTCTCAATCTCAATACCCTCTTCCTTCCTCTGTATTTCTGTTTCAGTATTTTGGCTCCTTTTATTATCAACCCATCTTTTTACTATGTATTAGTAGAATTTGAGCTTTTACTTCATTTTTTTAATATTGATTAAAGTATATGAACAGAGTGAGGGTAGCTGGGTAGGTGGAGATGTCGAGACAAATTTGTGGTCTGCCCAGTCAATTTGTTCGAGCGTAAGTTGACTGGCCATGTTCAGTTGGTGAGGTAGCCAACTTTGAACAAGACAAAGCAAATATGGCTTCTTTCAATCATTTTTTTCATATTTACTTTATTAATGTTATAATATGCTTTAAATTAAATAAAAACAAAAATTTCTCACTTTTGCGCAGCAATTTTGGTGTGCAAATAAAACAAAATAAAATCGTTTCTTTTTATTACTTCATCTCTTTAAAAACAATAATGTTTTTAAAAAAGCTTATTTTTTCTAAATAGTAATAATAATTATAAAATTGTCACTTAACCTTCACTTTTTAAATTTTTAGTTTTCAAATGTTTATATACAAAATAATTAAAACAAATAATATGTTTTCACTATTTTTTATGAACAAAATAAAATATGAACAATATTTTTATTATTACAAACAAAAATAGTGAATAAAATAAAATATTTTGTTGAATTAAATAGGTTCTAATGAATTTGACACACAATTTTACTTTTATTTAGAGTGTTTTAAGCTGCTCTAATATTTTATAACATGTAAGTGTGTTGAATTTTAGAAAATCATTAAATAACTATGCTCATAAGTGCTCTATGCATAAGTGCAGTTTAGAAATCGATTCAGCTTTTAACTGCTCTCCAAACTTTATATTTTGAAAAGCAGCTTCATGTGGAGTCACTCTCCAAATTATGCTTTTAAATCACTTTCGAAAATATACTTTTGAATCGCTTTCCAAAGTCAAGTTTTATGAGCGGTTCTTTTAATCACTCTCTAAAGTTATGGAAAAATTTAATAGTTTATTTAATAATTTCAAATTTTAAAATTTTTTGTTACACCTAATAGACAAGGTAATATTGTAACGAAGTATTAAATATAGTTGGAAATATTTCAGTATCCCAAATACACCTGATAAACCAACTTATATATGAAAATTAATAATTAAATCAAATTGGGAACAATTCAATATCCCAAAACTCAAAAATAATACAAAAGAGGAGAAAATCAATATAATTACATTGATGAACCACAATGAATAATGAAAAATGATCTATACACATGCAAATGTGTTTAAAGATATACATTATAGTCATATGAAAACATCATTAAGAATCTATTGTACTTAACTTGTTCTTAAAAATTTATGGTAGAGATATGCACATCCTTCTTTCTAAACTTGCTAAATTTTGTAACATCTCAAATTTCATAAATTATTGATTATTAGTATAAATACATGAGTTATTGTTTGAATATACATTTGATGTACATGATGATATGAATATATGTGAATATGAGTGTGAATACTGACTGTGTAATGAGTTAGATGTGAATATGATTGTAAAGATAGTCGTATAGTATGGTTGGAATGTGATGTGGAATTGTGATTGGACTCGAATTGTTTGAAATATAAACTAAGTGTGTAATGTAGGGGTGTTCTTGTTGTAGCAAGAGGATTTTCGCAGTAACGAGAAGGCCCTGGGTGAGTTGGGTGATTTTGTTGCATTGTCCTGTAGCGAGCAGCTTCTCACTATAGCGAGAAAGTAACAGAGAGAGGTGCATTTCTGGGTGCAGTCTTGTTGTAGCGAGAGGGTCTCGTTGTAGTGAAATTCTGCAGAAACCAGAGTGCAGTTTCCTTTGAGATTTTTGCTGTAGCAAGAGGGGGTGTCGTTGCAGCGAGGTGTCGCGACCAGAAGGTATTTGAGGGGTTTAGGATTTGGAAAACACATTCCCACTCTTTTCTCTTCATCTCTCTTCCGAATCTCTCTATTCCCAATCCATTCTTACCGATTTAATTGCCTCCAAAGCTGTTCGTGAGTTGGATTGAAGGTTGAAATTGTGTTTGGGATGCTTGAAGGTAAGTTCTAAGAGTTAGGGTTTTGGTTTTCCATTCCTCTTCCTTGTTCTTTTGATTTCTCATGGAATTTTTCATGCATTTAGGATGAAACTCATGTGTGGAGCACATTGTTATGATTTCGTGTTTGGGTCTTCATTTCGAGGTAAGGGAGGACTCTACCCTATATTATTGTGTTTTGTATTCGTTTATTTGACTATGTATTACAATGTGGTTAGATATAATGTAAGGATATGCGTGTGTTGATGTACATTTTGTGTTGAACATGATTTACGAGGAAATATGATGGAAATTGTGTCATTAGCTACAATGTGGTGGATGTTGCATAGTGCGTCTGTTGAGAATGGTTTGATTGTGCTTAGAACCGTGTGGGAGATGTTGTGTGTTTGAATGTAATGTGATTGAATGTGGGCATACGTGCCGTGTGTGAAAGTGAATATTGAGATTGTGGATGAAATTATGTGTTACCATGCCATCTCTTGATGTTGAATAATTTGAATGGTTGGAAATATGTGTGAATGGCATGTCAGATGCGATTGTGAATATGTTTGAATATGTTGGAAGCTATGAATGGTTCAGCGATGCATTAGGGTATGGAAGATGGGGCAGTAGAAATACCTTGGGGAGGTGAGAGGGTGGTGATGATACCAATAGTGAGCGTGTGCACCATAGGCCACATGCTCTCCTCCTGACTCGACCTTTGACTAACACCTTTGTTAAGGAGTCACCGCACACGTTGTATCCGTGAGACGGGGGTTATCCAGTGACCATCCATGCTTTGCTGGGGAATTGTCTGGAATGATCACTTTTGTGAACAAAAGTGATAACACACAAATCTTTCTTCAATATTAAGCTTATAGAACAATCACTTTTGTGAACAAAAGTGATAACGCCCAACTTTTGCTTCACCAGACTTTGTTCCTTGATTCCAATTTTTGTTACTTTCTTCTACTTTCTCTCTTGATCCTCCAATCTTATGATCTCAACTCAGAGTTTCTTGCAAGGTTCTAATCAGTACTTTTTACATAGAAAATTCAAAAAATCTAAACAATTAAACTATTTAGAAATGAATTGAATATTCTATTATTTTTATGAGTTTTCCAGCTTTCTCAATCATGTTTTTCATATGAAATATATTAAAAACTAAGGTAAAATACTAATAAAATCTGCATTTATCACTAAGATAAACTCTTATAAAGCCTATGTTGTCTATTTTAACACCATTATTGTTGTTAACCCACTTTGTAACCAAATATAATGACTTGAAACTTTGTGTAATTCAATTTTCATGTGTTCAATTACCCCCAAAGTAACATTTATATAAATGAGGTTTTTATCCTTCTGGAGATATGTAGTGAATGAACATAAGAGTCACTTCACTATTTTACATTGTGTTGTGGTCATCGTGCTCTTTTGTGGAAAAGGTGAAGTCATTGATTAAGTAAGAAGTGTAAGAAATGCATCAACACAAGGACCTTTTGATAACCATCAATTTTTTTTTGAAACTGAATTCTTATTTTATATCAACTGTTGAGATACATGTTACTGTAGCAATGAAACGAATCTCTAGTTATGTTCTTTTGTAATCCAATTCTCACATTTGTTAGGAATTTTATGCTTTAGCATGTCTTTGTACATGATTATATAAGGCTCAATTTCATCAGTGTATTATAAAACGAATAAGTGTGCTTAATCCCATTGTAGTTTCAGAGCTTCTATTAGTTGACAACAAGTACTACCTTTCCCTAATATGATTATATGACACAATTTTGGTAAACCTATTGAGTCCATATTTGACAAGTATTAATTGCAAAATTCAACAACTTCTTTAACTAAATATCTTTTAGCAATACACTCCTCTGGTCGGCTTCTATTCTTGACACACCCTTTTAAAATGTTCGTATATTGTTTAATGGAATATATCCATCTCATATATGTAGGTCGACACAATTTTGTTTCCTTAACCAAATGAATTGTCAAATGAAGCATGATATTAAAGAAATAAGGTAGAAAATACATCTCAAACTCACAAAGGGTTTCAAATATTTCGTTTTGCAAAGTTGGTAATCTCATAGGATTGATCACTTTACTACAAATTGCCTTGAAGAAAAACAAATTGGTGATTGTCACACAAACTTTCTTTGGTAGAACATAATATATAGCTATTAGAATCAAATTCTCTATTAAGGTATGGGAATCATTAGACTTCAAACTTTTTAATCTTAGGTCCTTTAATGATACAAGACTTCTTATGTTTGGTGATTGTCACGACTTCTTTTTATAATGAACCGAGAACATTATTTCTACACCACTTACTTATTTAAGATAGATAACTAATGGAGAATATAAGTATAAAATTCACTTCTCATTCAAAATAAAACAAAGTTCCTTACAATAAATATTCAATAGAACAACATAATATTATATTTAGTTCATAATACACAAAATTATACTACATAGCTCCCTCTATATAAGGTCTCAAAATATAAGGAAAATGACTTTAATGTAAAATTACTCGACTCCAACCTTCTAACACTTCTTCACTGGCCCCTCAAGCTGTGAAGTAGATGCAACACCTGCTACATTTGCTCATGTACCACTGTATGATCATCGTAGTACGTATGCACACAACAACATAGGCAGAAATGCAAGGGTGAGCTTACAAAAGAAAAATCATAGACTAAATCATATATCTCAGCATGATGCGACATAGACTAAATCATATTCTCAACAACTCAGTTCAGCTAAAACAATTCATAATATTTTAGCCAAATCTTAGCTTTTAAATCAATTAATAGCAGTTACAACATAGAAAATAGCTTTTATCCAAGAGAACTGACAAAATCATCTCAAAACTTCTTGTAATAACATACCAAATTGTTCCAAACATTGTTTAATAGTTAAAGTAAGCTCCCCTTACCTTAGAACAACGATTCACACCAGATCTACCTAATATTACTTGTTTTACGGCAAGATTCACCAAAGATTTAGCTTTACAACGAAGTTTCTCTTAAGATATTATCAATTATCTATAAGAAAGAGAAGAAAAAGAGAAAGGAATGGTAAATCTAACTACACACTTATAGAAACTTACTTTAGATCCTGTAGAATAGATGTAGAATCTCAGATCTGGTGAGAAATTTAAGTTTAGGAGGAATTAGTATGAGAGAAAATGGTGGTATAT